CTACATTCTTTCGAATTCGGGTTCCGATGGCGACTTACTCGTATCGATCGGGATCCACGCGATTGGAGATGATGGCCAGCAATGAGGTATCGGAGGTGCGGTTGAGGGCCGATATCCGCTCCAGGTGCCCGTCGACAGCCCCCTCCGGCCGCACGTTAACCACGGCCGCATCCGGGAAGTGCAGGTGGAACTTAAATACAGTTTTTTTTCGTTTAAATTCGTTAAAAGTACGTTAGACACCTAGAACAGCTAAAAAACTACACTTAAAAAATTCTAAATGAAAAGTTTTGCCAAAAATTTATTTTAGGATTATAAATAAGATAAAATAAAAATTTTAGGATTGGTTTTAATCTAACGATACCTGATGCCGCTGAGCCTCGTCACCGGCGACCCGGAGTGCGATGTATTCGACTCGCCGGCCTCGATGCCGCCACTCATCAACGACGGCAATGAGGCCTTGGGAGGTGACGCGTGGCTCTCCGTCGTCCACGGCGTACAGCTGAGTGTATTGACGACGTCGGAGGATCTGTAAAAGCCATCTAGCAAGCGGAAAAAGGCTCACGCTATTATCGAGGGGGACGAGTGCGAGTGCTCCTGGGCCGACGAGTCGAAGATTTTCAAGGCGGCCGAGCAGGTGATGCCCGAGGCGGCCGGGGAACGCCCAAGGGGGTGGCGCCAACGTTCCTTCCACCTGAAAAATGGGTCATAATTTAATTAATAGAAAAAATATTAAATTTATAAACGAAAATGACAGAAATAGAAATAAGAATATAAGTACTTGCAAAATCGGGTTAAAACAGTTTAAATTGACCCACCACGAGATCAAGCTGTCGACAGTTGGGCTGCGACTCGAGTAGATTGAGTAGTTGCGTAAATGTCAGGGTTGAGGAAGCGATGTAGAGGAAGAGACGCTGGCAAGCTATCGGGTGCCGCGCGAAGGAAATCCAGTCAAGGTCCCTCTAAAAACATCCTGATACCATCAAACACTTTTTTACCCCCCGATAATGCAAAAGCACCCCCTCACCAAAGTTAGGCAATCGACCCGGATACGCCTGCGTAGATGACGTAACCTGCGTTCGTAGGCTTCGGTGGAGGTGGCTTGCCAGAGCACACCACGATACGCACCGCTGCTTTCCGTCTGCCAGATACGCATCTAAAAGATGTAGCTGTAACTACAAAAATTAATGTCGACATTATAAAATCCTCTTTTTATTTTGTACAATAGGAAATTTCGAAATATTCAGATTTCCGTATTATCAAATTCGATATTTTGAATTTCGACTTTATGAATTTCCATGTATTAGATTGTCGATGTTTTGTATTTCGACATTTGCAGAACAGCCGACTAACCTTTCCAGGTGACAATTCGAGTCGATGCAGCGGGACGGGCGGCAGAATTGAGCGCCATTCGTCGATGAATTCCTCGAGCCAATGGCACAGCACTCGACATCTGCAATCGTCCGAATCGGTGCTTTTGCGTTAGCGGGGGGGTAAAAATAGCATGAAAGGACTTTCTCGTAAATAAAAAAGAAAACGAACCGTTCGATTTCGACGGGCGGGAGGTATTTGAGGATGTGGAGCAGGATCACGTCGGGCGTCTCGTCTAGTCGCCAGACGATGGGTCGTCGAGTTTGCTGGATCGAGCTAAAAACGGAAACTGGTTTTCTCTGTCTGTCTCTCTCACTCTCTCTGGCTCTCTCTCTCTCTCTCTCGGGCTGATTTATATGCTCAACGAATTAGATCTCGAGCGCAAAATTATTCTAATCTCGAGGCAAGCTAGCAAAGGCCATTTAGGAATCGACCGGAAGTGAATTGGAAACAAAAACTTACCTTGAAGGTCCAGGGACGTCGTAATCCTCCCGACGATCCGGTTGTTGAGTGAGTTCGGAGGCCATCACTCTGTGTCAATTGCTAAAATGAAAAATAAAAAAAGCTGTCTAAAAATGTGAACGTAAGGAGAAGCCGAACGGAATGAGATTACGATCAAAACGCACACGAGGTGAAGCTATAAAAAATATAAAAAATTGGGTAAAGCTCAGATAAAGCTGATACTGATGCTGATGATGCTGATAGTGGCAGATGGGGCATACCTATTAAGAAATCCACTGATTATAACGTTTCTGCTTCTCTTATCAAGCCCTGGGGGTATCTAAAATTGACTAGGTGCCCTGACCTTCGCATCTGCACATATGGCAAGAGCCATTCTCACAACTAAATTGCTGCACTAATGTTCTATAGCTATTTTAAATAGGCTATTTATGGTTTGATAAGCTGTTTAAACTTTAAACGACCATTAATGAGCAATTTCTCGTAATTTTGCTGCGGAAGTCTGCCCTTTCCTAAATAATCTCTGCTAGCCTACCTTCCTAAAGAATCTCTGCTTGCCTGCCCGTTCCTAATGAATCTCTCATAGCTTGCCCTTTCCTAAAGAATCTCTGCTAGCCTGCCCTTTCCTAAAGAATCTCTGCTAGCCTGCCCTTTCCTAAAGAATCTCTGCTAGCCTGCCCTTTCCTAAAGAATCTCTGCTAGCCGGCTACTATTTGAGACCACGATGAAGAACAGGCGTTTGACGCCGAATTCCCAGGGGTAGATGGTAATAAAAGCGGCCATGGTGCCCGCGGGGCTTTTGCCAGAATAAATCAACATTACAATGTGGTGGGAAGAGCAGGACGGTATCGACGAGTTTGACATTGTGTGGCATTTCGGCATTAGCTATGTACAAACCTATTTCCAGCTTCAAGTTTTGGATTCTACTAGTTCGCCTTCTGGCGCAGTTCTGGGTTTATGAATACCTTGAAATTTGGGTACACTATCATTATCAGGGGGATCCTTAGTTTCAATTTTTCTAATACAAACAGAGGAAGTGTTCCTACACTGTTTTTACTATTCCTAAACGTAAAAACTGTACCAATTTTCGCCCAAAAATACAAAAAATAGATTTTCTACCAAAAATGGTCCATTTTACGATAAAATTTCAAAATCTTGTAAGTTTTTAGATATTTTTCTACTTGAAATATCGTTGTTTCAACAAAAACTTTATTAAAGGGATACCCAACCTTTCCGAGGCTCAAAAAGCAAAAACCATGGCACGAGCGGGGGTCGAACCCCGGACCCTCGCTTTGAAGACCTGGATGCTATCCATTAGGCCATAGTGGCAAGCCATTGCTTGGGATGGGGACGCCACAAGAGGGAAAGCTGTCCGAATTCTGTGCGGCACTGGGCACCCATTCCCGCACAAAATTCGCGCGTCATTTGTACTTTCCGGAATACATAACTATATATTTGCCACAAAAACATTGGGTATCCCTTTAAATGAGTTACTACTAAATTAGTAGGCACTTCTGGGCCTATAAGAAAAAAAATCGAATCAGATTCGAACTCGAAACATACAGCTTTTAAGATTTTTACCTATAAAGTACGAGCTGATATTTTAGTACTATTTAGAATTTTTTTTTATTCTTTGATACGTTAACTAATAAACAAGATAAAATAACAGGTACCGTGTGACATTTGGGAATTGGCGCGGCACAGATGTTGCCTCTTTGCCCCGGATTAGCACATGGCTATGGTTAGTGATACCCTGCGCGCGCGACCCGGGGCTTTTTGAACCCTGGATTTTTTTCTATAACCATAACTTATAATAAGAAAAAGTGTTTATATAGTTTGCAAAGAAGTAGGTTTTGATTCGTACTTTTTTAGTTGTACTTTCTCGAGCCAAATTTCAGCGAATTGCGAGAAAGGTGAAAAAAAGGCATTTCAGCGAACACCGGCTTAAAATTATATAAACCCTTACAAATTCCATTTTTTTTGTTAGGTTTTAGTGCTTTTTGGCCGGTGGAAATTAAATTAAGGTCATTTAGAGCTATTAGAGCAGAGATTACAGCCCAGAACTGAGCTGATAGAGGCGTTAACGAAGCCTAGCTCGAAAAATAGTGCTTCAAAAAAGCCAAATAGAACAAAATTACAACTTCCCGGGCATTTCAAGCCTTAGAAATTCCTGGTCTATGAAGCCTCACACTTACACGTCTATTTCAGGTAATCTCCGGCCTTCGAACGCACCTTTTTGAAGCCAGTTTGATGGAGCAACGATTCGCGGCCATTCGGGTTGATGACGGCCATCAGAATTCCTACCCGTGCAGGTATTTTAATGTCCTGAATTGCAGCCCCTGATTTAGCACGTGCTCCAAAAAGCAGAACTTCGACAAGCACGACATCACGAAGCTGTTCATCTGCGAGAACCATTTGCAGGCAAATCGGGCGGTTAGTTGCGATTTTGATAAGGTTTACGCAGCTATAAATACCTAAAACTTACTGATTTTATAGTATATCACTTCGTATTATAAAAATACATAAAGTTTTTTTGCAGGCCGAACAACAAGCCTACTGTGGGAATTGCGCCTGGCAGAACCACAAGAAATGCAAGACGAAATCGGTGACGTTGCAGGCGTATCGGGTTTGTTTTTGTGTGAATTTATATTTTTAATTCTTTCAAAATGATCAATTTAATTAAAGAATTCATTTTTCTAGATAGGCCAAGTCCAGCGCCCCATCCTTGCCCGCCACGTGCAAGGACTAGACGATTTGGCGAACACGGCGCACGATATCATCAAGGAAGCGGCAGCTTTCGAAGAGGTATTTTTGGAAATTTAATACAAGGTGTGCTAATAGCGTTTAATTTAAATTTAAATACATTTAAAGTGGAAAACCTATCGAAAAACTTATGAATTTCGACATTTTCATTGAGAGATCAGCCATTTTTGATCGGAAAATCGATCGTTTTTGTAGTCTCTAATTCCAAATTGTTACATTTTGCGTTTAGGCATATTAACAATAGCTTAGAAACATTTAAAACTCTATTTAAATTCGAAAAATTGGATCCTAAGCGCAAGTTAGTGTGAAATTATATATTTTTTACAGCGCTAATCTATCCCCAATATTTTAGCAATGCCGCGGCTACGTCCAGAACATGAACAGCAACCTGGAAGACATCGACGAGGTGGAGCGCGAGCTCGTCTTTTTTGAGCAGCAGGGCGCCGAGAGGTTGGAGCAGATTCTGGAGGAGCTGCGGAAGTGCAAGAATGACCTCCCAAGTATGATTTATCTACTTTTAGTCTTTCTTGAGAATAAAACAAGCTACTTGGAAGCTGGAAAAAAATAGTTTTAGATCCTCCGCGACTCGCTTCACTTCGAGAAAAAACATCAAACAAAACAGCCAAAGCCGCAAACTACAAAGAAGAACTTCAAGGGCAGAAAGAACGGACATCAGCAACAAGTTCGGGCGCCGAGCCGATCAGGTAGCGATCACAGCGGCTCGAATGGTGGGGGGAGGAACACGGCAAGAAGCATCAACCAGTTACGCAAAGGTTCGTTTTAACCTTAAAAAGAAAATCGTCAAATATCGGCAAGCTCTCACATTCATTTTTAGGAAAAGACGGAGCTTCCGAGTTCGACGCCCCACAATTCTACGTCAACGTCGCCAACGGAACCGACTTTTGCGACGAATGCTCGCCTGGATCCGACGCTGAAAGTGGTACGCTTTTCACCGAAAGTCGCCTGATCGAAAGCGCTCACTCGAAAATAACTAAAAATTGCTGCTTTTGCTGCGTTTTAACTTCGAAAAAAGCGTGTTTTGTAGCTTCCCGTAGTGAAAAAGTTATAGAAAACATGTGATATAAATTCAAATCATTATAAGAATAGTTCTACGCTTTTTTAATCGGAAACCGCGCAAAAATATTGAAAAAGATTTCCAAAAAAAAGCAGAAACCCTTGTTGAACGCGTTTTTTTAGATAACGAACAGCCCGGTGATCCTGATGAACCCGACTACGGCCATGTCCAACATCCACAACGAGTCCAAGAAGTTGCGGCTCGAGCTGCGGTTGGAATGGGAGAATTGCAGCATTGAAGTGTGTGTTTGGCACTTTTTATGTCAATATTTTATAGTTTAGTAGTAGTAGCAGCTTAGTTTGTAGTTTATAGTCATAGTCTATACTTTTATATATAGACATTTCCTTGATACATCTGGTGATTTTCAGAGCAGCCTGCTTCTCGTGGAACCGGACACAACCGCGCGCATCCTGCTGATGCCGAAAAATATGCGCGAACCGGCCACGGTATGTTTTTTTTGTTAAAAAGCGCTTTTTTGGCAAATCATATTTCAAATCGGATAAAATTCAACTAATTTTAGGTAATCGTCAACTACCGCAGCTCCGTCGACACCGAGACGGGCAGCTACTCGGCCGGGCAACTCGTTCTACGCTACGATCCGATGTTGTACACATCAAGATAAGAGAAGGTACATTAAAATTGTTGTTTTTTAAACAATACAATATTGTTAACGGGTCTAAAGACTAACTTTAAAGTCTTTTAAAACTGTTAATAACACCTTATATACTTTAAAACTTGCCAAATTGTTGATTTGTGCTTGATAAATATTTATTTATTAAAATTATGCAGCGAGAAACGTTGTATGATGAAAAGAAAATGCAAAAATACAAAGACAATAGATAATTTCGATTTTGCGGAATTTTTGTGGAAAAAATTCGTTGAAAATTGAAGCAACTTTTCGTGGGTTATTGCTAGTAGTAAAAGTCGTGGAAGTCTTTGAGGATGCTCTTTGAAAGACAACAAGCAAAGCAGACGCCCAGCACCTAGAAAATAGATTAAATTAGTTAATTAAATAAATAAATTCTGGTTTTAAATACTAAAAAACACAGAAAAAACAATTACCTGCAGAGTCACTAGCACGGTGGAAATTATGCCGACGATGAAAGTGTGTTGGCCGATTAGTTCTAAATAATTTAAATTACTAAGTTTATTGGTATAACCTTTTTATTTTTTTATTTATTTTTTATAGTTATAACCACAATTTTTATTTTACTAGGTTAAATTATACTTTAGAGTATCCTAGATTTTATTTGACGTTTTCTAACGATGAAAAAAAAAATTAAAATTCATATAAAAAGCCGCCTACTCTGCGCTTGTCCCAGACATCCGGTCGTGTGGATCGGCGCCTTGTTTTTGATGCATCTAAAAGTTGTATAGATAGTAATTGTATAGTTTAGTATTATTTAGTTTAGGTATAGTAGTTGTATAGTTTTAGGGAATTTATAACGCTATTTAATCATTTTAATTTAGATGGTTTTTGATTTACCCGTAAACCGGATTCACGCAGCACGATTCGGGCAAATTTCCGGCGTAATCGGACGAGTTGTAGACGCCGCAGCAGTCCCATTCCTCAAATTTTTTTAGTGAAACGTTAGAACTTTATAACAGCCTTAATTTAATTAAAATCATTGGAAAAAACTAATGAAGTAATTTTTACCTGTTGCATGCCGTCCCACGCGAGTGTCACCCCATCGGCTTTGCCGTATCGTTTCAGCCCTAAATTTTGTAAATTTTTAATTGGTTCTTGTGCGTTATCGGGGGCCTAATTTTTTCCTAAAAGTCCAAAAATGCCTAGTAACGCCTTAGTAAGGTTTTAATGATGTTTTTAGTCAAATTTAACTGTATTTCAAGTCAAAACTATCTAAAAAATTCGAAAATGTTGAAATTTTGGTGGAAAATCGATATTTTTTTTTGTAAAAATTTGCGTAATAGTCTGTCAGTATTTTGTATTTCGAAGAGAAATTCGTAGAATCTTACCTTTAGGTGGTAAAAAATAGTTTAGAAAGACTTCCGCTATTTATATTTAAAAAAATGGTTCCTAAAAAATTCTGCGCCCCCTGATAATGGAAAAGTCCCTTTTAGTTTATCGCGGAATATAAATTTTATAACTTTGATCGATTTTTTTTTGAAAGCCGAAAAGGAATATAATTTAACTTACCATCCGTCAACTCCTTGCCCAGACTTTTCTCTAGCGGGTCTATCAGCGCGTAGCCGGCAATAATGGCTGCCGTTTCGACCATCTAAATGTATCGATTAAATTTTATTAAAATTTTAACCTGGTTTCCAGGGTAAAATTTGTATACTTCTTATAATTTGGGAAAACCTTACCAAAACGAGCGCCAACAGCACGGCAAATGACACGGTCAGGCAGTAGTTCTCGCGGATCGCTCCGCAGCAACTAAATTTGGGCATGGAACTTTCGGTTCTTTTGCATTATCGGGGCGAGGGCGATTTTTTGTTAAGTCTAGAACGCCTAATAACAATAGAAGGTGGTTTATTAGTGTTTTTAGTAAAATATAACTATTTAAACTAGAAAAACAAGCAAAAAATTTTTCAAAAGGTGGCATTTTGGGCCGAAAAATCGATATTTCTGGTATTTACGATTAGGAATAGTAAAAAAGAGTTTAACAACACTTCCGCTATTGAAAAATGATCCTAAACCCCCCCGATAATGCCAAAGATCCCAATTTTAATCATACATTCTAAGATAGGATTTGAAAGTATAAATAAATTAGAAAGCATTTAGATTTATACAGGAATTACAGTACTTTAGTACGTTTTACCACTCCTTACCCCAAAAATCCGAGCAGCGTGCACATGCAGCCGAGGCCGATCAGCACTATTGGTGTCGCTAACCGTTCATCCCCTTAAAAAAAGTGTTTTTTTTTAGGGTACAGAAAACTTCTTATAAAGTGTAAAAATAATGTCTATGCCTTCTACTTACCTAATAAATCGAATAACAACGGGAATTTGAGCTGCATCACGGTCCCGGTGATGATCAGCCCCAGGCCGCCCACCTGGAGGGTTTTTATCAACTTTAAGCGGAAAAACTCACCCATAACACCAAATTAGATAGGAATAGGATGTACTTGACGATGGCCACGCCGCCCTCCACCATTTTCGCTTTTTTATGTTTTATTTTTTTTCTAGCGTCCGATCTGAAGCCTCATAGCCGGCCGGCGCGGCGTCGAACTGCTCGAGCTTGGGCGGATGAACACTGGAACGTTTCGGTTAGTTTTTTATTGGGTTTTTAAGCGAGCAATTTGGTTGTTAATTCTACCGAAAACACTGATTTTTCAAAACTCGCAATTTCCTCAAAAAAATGTGGGGTTCTTGAGCATTATCGGGGGGGGGGGGGGGCATTTTTATCAGCCCAGAAAGTCTCGTATCGTAATAGCAAGCTTTTAATGGTGTCTGGAGTGAAATTTAACTACATTTATATAGGCAAAATTGCAGAAAAACCTAGTAATTTCTCGTAAAATTGCATGTTTTCGTTAAAAAAATAGAGTTTTTGCATTTTTGAACTTTTTTTGTGTGTAGGAATAGAAAAACACAATTTAGCAAGTACACTCGAATTCAAAGCCCCCGAAATTCCACCCATAATTCCTGCGGAAAAAAGCAAAAAATATTCGAAGTGAAGCCTAAAGCGCCACCACCACGAAAAGCCTCGTCAATCAAGACGCGGCGCGTCCCCTGGCCCCTCGCCTTGCCCCACGGGGTCCCGCCACGAAAAACAGCAATTCCCCGGTTTTTGGCCCTTCTGAAGGGGATCAGCGCCCCGCCATTCATTCTTTCCGGGTTTGGGGGTAAGGGGTTTTCGGAAATTCTGGGAAGGGGACTGGTAGCAGGGACCATAGCGGCGATCATTTGGGATTGAGACGGGCGAATTTTGGTTGGATAGCGTGTTGGAGAGATATGTAGAGTCGGATTAAAGCTGTAGGGTTGGGACGTAGTAACAAAAAAAACTAGCGTTAGGGTCTAGCAGAGGTTGTTGAGGAATTCAATTTTGGCTTGATAGGATAAATTTTTCAAAAAAATCGGGTTATCGGGGCGGACTAGCAGCGATCATTTGGGAATCGGTGGCAGCCTAGCAAAGAGCTTAGGCTTAGCAACGATTTTTAGAATGGCTGGCAGGTTAGCAGAGGTAGTTTGGGAATCAAGGGCAGGCTAGCAGAGATCAGTTGAGCAGAAATCGGCACACTAGTAGCGATTCTTACGAGATCGAGGCAGGCTGGCAAAGATGCTTTAGTAAGGGAGGGAGGGCTAGCAGAGGTCATTTGGGAATCAAAAGGGTGCGGGCTAGCAGAGATCATTTAGGAATGTGGGTTATTCGGTGTTTTCTGGGGATCCTAATTTTTCTATTGTTTTTATATTTATTTTAACTATTCCTATGCGTAACAACTTTAGAAAGCTTTACTAAAAACAGCTTTTTGGCCCGAGTTTCCGGTTTTAGGCAATTTTTAAATTTCTAGGCGGTTTTTCGACCTGAAAGAAATTTGACACTCTGGATTGATAAAAAATTAGGATCCCGGAAATACCGTAAATCAAAAAAAAAATAGAAAAACTAGGATGCGCGAGGCAGACTAGCAGAGATCATTGGCCAGATCTTCAAGGCTTCTTCTCCATCGCAGGCTTAACCTCTGATGCCCAAAAGATCTAAAACGCGATGTGGGAACCCGCGGAAAGTTTGGAGGGATGGGGGTTGGACTGAGTGTTGTGTGTGTGTGCCGTATTTGTGCTGCTGTTTTTAGGAGGGAGCTCTAGAGCTACCAGCTAGCCCTAGAGGGCCCCCTCCCCTAGAAGAAGAGCCGTCGGGGGCACATATCTGTCCCTGGGGAGTGTCTTGCTCCTCTTGCGGCTCTTGCTCCACCCAGCCAGCTCTTCCTCCTCCTCCTCTTCCTCCTATTCCTCGTCGACTCCGAACAAAGCCTATACGCGGCCTGCTAGGGGGCGACCCCCTAAAATTTGTCAAAAGTCAGGGCTTGAAACAGGCGAAAAAGGGGGGCGAGCACTGCCCGTTGGGAGTTTCGTAGCGGAGTGGCCGCCCCGGTCGGCTAGTGCTCGTTTTGGCTCCTAGGAGTTCCTAAGCATGAGAAATAGCTGGAAGCTTTTAGGGAAGTGACAGCTTGGCAACCTAGCGGAGATCATTTAGGATTCGAGGGCAGGCTAGCAGAGATACTTTGGGAATTCGAGGGCAAGTTAGCAGAGCGCATTTAGGAGGGGCAGGCTAGCAGTGATTCTTTAGGAATATTAGGAATTCGAGCAGTCTAGCAGCGATCATTTCGGGAATCGTGTTGTAGCCTAGAAGCTCGTTGAAGAGAGCAGGCTAGGAGAGGCTATTTAGGAATTAGGTCAGGCTTGCAGGGATCATTTAGGAATTCGGCAGTATGGCGGAGATCCCGTAGGAGATGGTGAAGCTAGCAAAGATTCTTTAGGCAAGGGCGGCTAGCAGAGATTATTTAGGAAAGGGCCGGTTAGCAGAGATCGTTTATGAATGCGGGTAGGCTTGCAGTGATAATTTAGGAATTTTGGCGGCAAGGCAAGCAGAGACCATTTAGGAAGAGAGGCTAGCAGAGGGACCTTAGGAAGTTGGGCAGACTAGCAGAGGTCATTTAGGAAGGAAACAAGATTGACCAGAAACTTCTGTGATTGGGGCGAACCAGCAGAAATCTTTGTAGAATTTGGGGCAAACTTGCGGAGAACATTTGAGCGCATGAGGGGCAGCCTAGCAGGCACAATTTGGTGATTCCGCAAGTTGGCTTGCAGAGATCAATTAGGAATGGAGGGGCTAGCTAGCAGAAACCGTTAGGGTTAATCGTGGCTAGTCAGTAGATATCATTTAGGAGTCTTAGGGCAACTAGCCGAGATCATTTAGGAATCCAGTCAGCCATAATTTGCATAATCGGCCCTTGAGAAAAACAGATGCCGAGAAATGGCCCAAAGTGCCGCGGCGGGACATCTGGGCTCGGTGCCCTCGGCTCGTTGTCGCGTTAACGATTCGAAGAGTGGGTGCTTGCTGTCTCTCGCTCTCTCTGTCTCTCTCTCTCCTGCTCCTCGTTTTGCATCTGACCCGTTGGGAGGAGGGGCTTTTGGCTCTTCTCCCGGGCCACACTGCTGGAATCGAGCAGCCCCTTAGGGCCCCGCTCCATGGAATCGGATTCAATTTGCACGCCCTTGTCCCTCTTGGGTCCCTCTTGGGGCCCGCCTTAGGGCCCACGGGATGGGCCCTAATTGGGGGGTCGTCCGTGGGTCTTAGTGGGAAATAAGGAGAGCGGGCGGGAATTAGAGTGAAAAGTCATTGGTTGTGGGGAGGTGGTGCAATACGGTAATGCCGATACGTATCAATACGTTAGAGTACGGTACTACATACCTAATGTGTACGATTGGCTAGGATGGGGGACCCCAAAAATGACCCGACCGTCGTTGGCTAGCCTTACATCCAATAGGTCCAAAATTTTGACAGAGGTTTATTGGACCCCAAATAACTAGAATCCTGGGTTACAGCCCAATAGTACAGTAGTTTTTGAGTTAGAACGAAAATATAGTTTTTTAAAATTTCAATTCCTAGAAAATCATTTTAGCGAAATTTAAATCCCCTTTTGGCCTCGATTTTTCATCTGAAAACATTTTGCAAATCGGAATTCCACCGCATTTTGCCAAAATTAGCTTTCGATAAAATCATATTTCAAATTTTCATTTTTCGACATTTCCAAATACAAAATCGACAAAATTAATTTCGACGTGCTGGTAGCAAATCGATTTTTTTTCTACAAATCGTTTAAAACAGCATTTATTTAATCAGTTTTTCGGTAGAAAAAAATCTTGTGGCTAAGAATAGATATGGCATCTTTTCTCTTGATTTTTTTAGTGTAAATAGCCACCGTAACCCTCCGAAAAACGGAAAATAGAGTCTATTTTTGTCATAACCCGAAAACTACGGTAGCTAAGGGGGCATGAGTAGTGGTAGTTAGTAGCTCGGGTTTTCGCATTCGTTTTGGCGAGAATCGCGATACCCAAGGCGACGCTAGAGTACGGTAATACCTGTAGTGTAGTGCTAGAGTACGGTAATACCTGATGCGGATTGGATTTATTTAATTCAATAAAACACGCAGTTAACCGATAACAACTACTATAAAGCGTTGGCGTAGAAAGCGTACAAAACATAGGAGCGTGCCGTAATATCACGAGAGTACCTACGTGAGAGTACGTTTCAGAGTTGTTAGTGTGAGTGCGTACGTTTCTGTACGAGTCGCCTAGATTCAAAAAAGGTAAAATTCGTCACTAACTGCTCCCTTTAATTTTTGACACAATTTTTGCTTGGTGCCTTTTCAGGAAATACATATCATTGCTTGAAAAGAAATGCATACCTTAATCGATTGTTTTTGTGCTATTTAGCTGCCTTAATTGATTTCTGGGGCAAATACAAGTCGTGATGGGTTATTTTTCATGAAATACCTGTCGTAATTGATTTTCCCATCTTGGATTGCGGCTTTTCTTGCGGGCACCACCCCTTTAAAGCAGACATGGCAATCCCGGCCGGCCCAGCCGCCCGGCCGAGCCGCCGGCTTAATTTCCATAAAAACCCGGCCCCATACGAGCCGCGTTAATGACTTACTTCCGGAAACCCGGCTTCCCGGCCCAGCCGGCATTCAGTTGCGGCCCGGCCAAGCCGGTCCGGCCGAGCCGGGAAACCGGAAGTTGTTCATTTACTTATAGAATCCGTGTATCCTATGCAAAATTGTGAATGGAAATGACAAACTTTCTGTGTTGGAATAGTTTAGCCCTTGCCATAAAGGCAATTATTGATTGAATCCGCAATTTGCGTACCGGAAACGCGAAAATCTCATTTGGGTCCGGCTTTCCGGCTTTTCAAAAGCCGGCGGCTTGGCCGGGGCTCCGGCTTTTAAACATAAAAAAGCCGGGGCCGGACCGGAAGCTCCGGCCCAGCCGCGCGGCTCGGCCGCATGCTAATTTTTCCGGCCGAAAAAAGCCGGCGGCCCGGCCGTTTGCCATGTCTGCTTTAAAGCGAAATGTGTTTATTTATGGGTTATTTGAGGGGGGGGGGGGGGGGGGCACCCTCGTGGAGACTATCCATGGCCCCACTTCCAACCGAAATAG